TGCATCCTGTTAGATTTCAGTAGCAAAATTGCAGCAATAACATTCCCACGCGTTTTCCAATACTCTGAATTTTTTTGCAACATCGCTAATAGTGCATGAATATGAATTCCAGCATTTACGAAGTCGAGCAAGACAATAAATATTTCCAGCACATAATTCAAATTGTTTTTAATGCATAGTGTGTCGCTAATTGTGTAGACTAGGATATTACGTTATTATTATCTTTATACGTATATTCCAATAACATAATTTAAAATACTTCAATTTTTAGATAATTTATGAAAAATAAAGTATTTGAATGATGTAAACAACAAGTTTCCTTGTTTGTATTTTGTAACAACTTATTGTAGTTTAAAAAAAATATTTCCTTGTTCTACTTGTTTTAATGTCTTATAATTTACACTAATAATTTATTGCATGGTTATCATATTCTCTATTTGAATAATAAGTTTTAATAATTCAATAAATTATTATCAATAACAAAAAATGATACTTTCAATAAATGTGTGACTCGGACTCGCACCCGCACCCGCATCCGCACCCGCACCCGCACCCGCACCCGCACCCGCGCGCTTTAGCGGCAAACTGCACTAAAATTTATCCTTCTCCCCCACCTCCTTCTCCTATTTTTCCTTCTCTTCCTCCATCTTTTCTTTCTTTTTCTCATTCTTCTTCTGCTTCTCCTCCTCCTTCTACTAGGAACGTATCCCTCCAGCATTTGCACATCTTGGACAACGTTGACCAGTGAGATTAAAAACACAAGGGCATGACATGCTTTCAAAAACATAAGTTAAATATTTTCTTATGTAAAACAAAATACCATTAGCGACTAAATTTACTCAGGAAATGGACAATATTTAACTTTATTTAAAAGTGTTATTACAAAGCAATCACACATGCTCTGTATATTGTGGCGCACGCCCACGAACATACGCGCGTAGTTCAGTTCACTTCACGCAAAGAGAAGTGAAAAATGTAAACGTAACTATTGTTTAATTGTGAAAATCAATTACTCATTCGTTCTCCCATGACAGTCACCAAGTTGCAACCCAAAACATCTATCGACTTTTCACAATAAACCAAATGAACGTTGACCATTTATTAAGCGGAGCTCTTGATTTAAGATTTTTCTATAATTTATTCACATTGACCAATCTACCATTACTACTCTTTAAGCGACAGCGACGGCCCGCGAACGAGCCAAGTCGTGCCTGCAGCGTCACGGCCTCGTGGGCATGGGTTAAGGGAGTACGTGAGGTTAGCACGAAGACATCCCCAAATCATAATCTGGTCTTCTCAATGTTGATCAACACACAGTTATACAATACATTGGACGATTTCTTTTTAACGTCCAGTCCTTTCCCCAAAATAAAGTGGAGATATTATTGGTTATGGAAGTGGCGGTCTTTGTTTCACAAGTAACCCCGTAGAAAGGCCTATCCCTCTCTTCCCCACCCAGCTTCACCGCCCTCTATGATCGCTGACGCTTTCCTAGATGTGCCCTTGAAGCGATGGGCGCGTTAGCGAAGAGGGGGGGGGGGTCATTCGGAACGGAACATACGCTGCGCGCCCGCGCGCTTGCACTTTCTATTCTCTTTGAGGCTCAAAGAAGCGAGCGGAGCGGGGCGATTTCATTGACTTAGGAAGAGCCCTGCGGTGAGCATATGTTGGCAGCCGCGCGGCGCCACCCGGAGGCTGTGGCTCCGACTCGCTCCCTCCTTGCGGCTCACGTCCGCCCTCCTCCGCTGTCTCCCAAATGCCTTTCTTCGTCGGGCGCTGGTTGCGCAACACTAGTTCTTTGTCAATGTTGACTTATGCACCTTCAGGCTCAGTTTTTGTTTTACTGTTCCGTAACTCGAAAAATAAATGAGATACATTTTTCGTTTTCAAAGCCTACATAATATATCCACGTCAAGTCTACTACATTATTCTCCGAAACAAAATGAATTAAAAAATCTTCGTGCCATTCATTGTGGAGAAAGGTTTTCCAATCAGCGCATAAACATTGCAATAAGCTCCTGCGATGTGCCAAATGTTCGAATATTGCGGTCGTATATGTAAATAAAAAGATATTCTGAAATCCAAATGTTATTTATTTGCCTACCGGAAAGCTTATTTAATAATTCGCCATAGTGTTCCTCAAACAACGATATAATCGTGCTAATTTTCAACAATTTGATAAAACTGCTTGTCGCACACAGACTTATACCGAACTGAAGCATGTATTGCTGAATTGCAAGTGAATCTCATTTCTTTGGGATGTCATATTAAAACTTTCAAAACGATTCATAAAGTTTCGACCTTTTCGGTCAAAACCTTTCAACGTACCTGTAGTTTATATTTTTAAATGTGAGAATTGTTTTGAGAAAATTTTCCGTATCTGATGATAAAAACTGAGTACACACAACGAATTATTCCGTCTCGTTTTCTTTTGAATTACTAGAAAAATGAAGGGAAAAAATTACCAAAAAGTACTTTTCATTTTGTGCGATAATTTAAATAAATATGCTAGTTACCGCGTTGCGCTCTGGTGAAGCAGTTCCCATTGCCGCATACGCCTAGGTTGTTAAGGAATGTAAATAAACAGATATTAATTTGGGATTCAATATGAATTCCGACCGATTCCAGGATTGCTGAGGATTCTATGAAATAAAGTTCTTATGTGTGATTCATTACTGTCCGTTATTTACAGAACTATCATATTTCAGACTAATTACCTCTTTTGATTTTAAGAAGAGGGACTCTCATTACGTTTTTGTTAAATTTCTATTATCAATGGGACACACGGTTAAAATTTTATATTTTCGTGCGTTTTCTGCTTACTATCTCAAAGCTTTGTCTTTACAAATGTTTCTCTTTAGACCATGCACCCATTGAAAACCTCATGGGTCATATAAAAAACGTCAAGGCGTATTTAAAAAATCTATTTTTGATTCTGGTGTATTTTTCTAGATAATTTGCATAGTGAAATAATTGTGGGATGAAAGATGATTTAATAAAAATTGTTGAATAACATGCTGCAGTGGATCATGATAAATCTCAATCGCAGGTGGGGTGTACAACACGGTAGAGAACATTATGCAAGTTTTTATTCCAGATGTCATCCAAATCCAATGGCTTACCAAATACTAATCGCAGGAAGATTGTCTATAAGATGATTGTGGCGCAGGTGAAGTACCTGAAGAATAGCATGTCTGCTGTGAACGTCTTCGGAAACGTGTTTTTCTGCAAGCGCATTGGCTCGTACTGCTCAGCATCTCATAGCTTCTACCACTGTGTAGCCGCAGCGCGAGGAGAGAGCCGCGTTGAGGGAGTCCGGGGTTTGGCGCCCGGGGTTTTGCTAACCCGTCTCCTCGCCTCGCGATAGGTGCAGTAGAGTATCAACGGCGGACACCAGTGCTTTTGTTTATATTTGTTTACGTAAAGAGGTTCTGATTCATGAAAAAACCCTTTTTTTCCATTTTGCTCGCAGACAGGCTGACTTGGAGCACGCGTGCCTGCACCCTGCATTTACAGGGGCTCACACACATTATCTCGGTGGCAGGTACTTGTAATTTTTATCAGGGGAGCAGCATTCAGCTATATCCGATTTTATTGCCCAAGGTTGTTTGCCCTGGGGGTATGGAATTTGAAATAATGATGATAGTGATGGATGAGAGGACGGCACACACATACACAAATACACCCATGCCTGAGACGGCACTCGAACTCGCGATCTTCTGGTTCCAGACTTCTGCCTTAGCGGTCTCGGCCATCTGATTGGGCTAATAAGCCTTTTATTAATAGAGCGTTTCTGAAAATTTGGCGATAGTTTAGTTTTTCAAGCTTGTCGGACACTAACAAAAATCTTCGAAACCATCACCATGCTTAATTGCTATCCGGAAACAATAAGGTTCAGCCAGACCTGCCCTGCTTAATTTGTGCCAGGAAACAATAACGTTCAGTCAGGCCTGCCTGTAATTTGCGACCTTTTATCTATAGTATCTACCGACGTAGATTACAGTTGTGCACAAGCAGCAGCAACGTAGTGAATGTTGAACTAGTTCTTCGAAAAATGACAGTCCGCCCTTCACCCCTTTCCCATTGGTGTTCTCCGGTGGCGGTACGGCAGTGGTGTGCGACTGTCAAGGGCAGTGGCGGCTTTTGATTGGCTGCGCAGCTCTGCGCTGTGCATCTGGAGCCCTTCCGCTGCCCCGGCTGCGTCTGGCGATCACAGCTTGTCATGATGGCAACTAGTGATGTGAAGGATAAACTGTCTTTCCCGCCTTGTCAACTGTTGGAATCGCCGGACCAACGATTACTTTTGTAGTTCGTCCTTCTCCCGTACACGAATTTACAGAGCCAGTGTGCCAATGTTTTTGTGAGTCGTCCTAATAAAGTATTTATTTTATACTTTAGAGTATTTTTCCACAGTAATAGTCAGTTCTAGGGCGTTTTAAAATACTGTTTGTTTTTCTAAGTTCACTTTTGAGTTACCATCGACTTTTTCCGCAGTTTTAATTTATAATTGGTACAGTTACACTGAGTGATTTGGTCGGACTGCCATGTAGTTCTTCGGTGGAACATCTACTCCATGGTGGTGCTAGTGTAATTTGTGAATCTTTTCGGGAGAGAGAATCACACTTTTCGGCGAAACATCATTCGTGCAACTTTCTAAAGTGTTGTATAAAGAAGAATTCATCTTAAACTTATAAACCACAAATAGGTGCAGTTGTGTGGTAAAAATAACTCTCTTGTAACGATCATTGGTGACGATCTCGCTCCACGATTCATTATATATGTATACCTTCCATGTACTTATATTTATACATCTATGTCGATAGAGAACTTCCAAATAATTGGAGAGTTTGATATAAAGAATAAAATTATTAATGGATTAAACAACGTATAAAAGCGTATTATGTTCGTTTCTTTCACATGTGTACTAAAAATGTTACGATTTATGAAGTGTGATTTTATTATTTATGTGAAGTGTTAGTGAAATTCTTTAATTTATGAATATGCCGGAGCAGATACCGCTACAATTGGAGAACGATTTGAACGATTCAGCGAATTGGTCCGAAATAAATCGTACTACCGAATCGACCAACAAGGTACCTCCAGATGCCGTCACAAGTCGCAGTTCGCCGCGATGTGAACTCGAGGTTTGATATCGGCGGCCGTGGCTCGTACAATAGCTTCTGTTCCCCGAACCCAATCTCTATTGTGAAGTCGCGCGTCCCAATTATTAATAGGTTTTAGACGTGTTTCTATGCGGAGTTGTTTGTCTGTGAGGAAAAGCGGCATTCCTTCCGGACGTAGGAGTTCGTTGGCTGTGGCGAGCTCTTCAGCTACGTCGCTCTCTCAAGGAAACGTTTAGCGGCCGGTGGCCCCGACGGGGAGTTCTCTGTAGTTTCTCGCTCACTGCACCGGCTGAGGTTCCTGAGAACGTCAACTGCTGTTACCGCAGAGCTTGTGACCCGGAGATGGAAGGGTTCGAGTCAGGACTGGGGCAGATTTTTCGACACTATCTAGATAGCAAGGTGGAAATCAGCCGGTGTCTGGAGGAGAATTCTAGCGGTCGTCTACTCTAGTCAGTAGTTTTCCGCGGGTTCTCCGATCAACACAGGAGACCGCAGGAGCAGAACCGTAACGAACGCGCGCGATCTTTCCCTTAGATTTAGATTTAGATTTTTTCAGTCAAAATACCAGTAACAACTGTAAGTGACGTAGGGCGGAAAAGAGTATCTGCGCACGTTTTGTTGAGTTCCAGAATCCCTTTCCGTCATTTTCACTATCAATAGTTGAAAGATGACTAAACGTTTAACATAATAAATAAATAAATAAATATAGTAAATAAATAAAGTAATTAAATTTGGAAAATTAATTTCAAAAATAAATTTCAAAAATCCTAAGATTCGCAATATTTGAAAATAGCAATTTTCGTTATTGAGTTATAGAAACTGTATTTGCATCGGTACACGAATTGCTAGTATAATTTTTCTGCACTGCTAACAAAGTAGCAACTCGCCCATACCTCTACTCTTACCATTACAAGCAAAAGGAGAGCCCAACATAACGATGGCAGAGTCAAGCTACATTTA